GGGCGGGCAGATTGGCGAGGGCGGAGGGCAGGGGACGGGGCGACGGGAGTGGGGCGCGGGGTGGGGCCCTGCCTACCCGCCTGCCCGCCGCACCTTGGCCTGGTAGGTCTGCTCCAGTTCCCGCTTGTAGAGCTGCACCTGCTCCTCGTGCTGCGCCCGCAGCTCCTCCAGCGCCTGGGCCATCTTGAAGTCATACTCCTGCTGCCGGCTGCTGTCCACCTCCACCAGGCGCCGCTCATGCCGCCGCCGCGTCTCCCGCACCTCCTGGGGACACACCGCGTGCTGATGCCCCGGCCCCAGCTGTGCTGACAGCGACCCTGTGGGGAGCGGCCTGGTCCCTGGTTCACACCCCACAGCACGACTCCAGACCACCAAAGAATGGCCGCCCAGTGTCCCTCAGCAGACAACCGATAAACACACCACGCGTCCCTCCACACACGGGGGCATCGCTCAGCCGTGACCAGGAGAGCAGCCCTGACACGCGCTCCCACGTGGACGGACCCTGAGAGCACGACGCCCAGGGAGAGAAGCAGGCACAGTAGGACACACAGCGTGTGAGTGAGTCCACGGACGTGAGGCGCCCAGAGCAGGCCAGTCCCCAGAGATGGACAGTGGGTTTGTGGCTGTCAGGGGCTGGGGAGGGGGGGATGGGAGGGTGACTTCTTTTGGGGCATGGACTGCTCTGGAATTAGACAGAGGCGAAGGCTGCACAACACTGTAAATGTCTTAAATGCCATCAGATTAATTGTGCTCTTTGAAAGTAGTTTTGCTGTTTGAATTTTATCTCAGTCTGAAAACCAGAGAAGGGAGACACTGAAGCGCTACTGGTAATGGCAGTTTCTTTCTGAGGTGATGGGATGTTCTGGACTAAGAGGTGATGGCTACACAACTCTGTGAATGGACTAAAACCCACTCCACGTTGCAAACCTCGAAAGCTTCATGGTGTGGGAATTTTAAAAAGAACTGACAGAGCCCATCCCAGGTGCCTGGGGTCCAAGATGGAGGGACTGGCCCTCAGGACAGCGGCGGCACGAGACACTGACCAGCTGACAGATGCCCCAGCCACATATGCCAGGAGCTGACCAGACGGTGGTGGGGCCGAGGGCAGGCGAGGCAGCCCCAGAGATCAGGGCCTCAGGCTCCAGGGAGGGTAAGTTCCGCTCTAGAAAACTTGCAAAAATCATTCATCAGCACCACCAGTTTGTAGGAAGCAGAGGAATGTTTCTAAAGGAAGCCAACTCCTTTCACAAAGAACCGAGGAGCATGGGGGAACCATGGCCTGCACAAGACCTTCGTGGGGCCCCCCTCGCAGGGACCCCCTGGGGCCCTCCCCAGGGCGCCCTCCTGCCCCCCCAAGGCTTTATCATGGGCCTCCTCACGGGATCCCTGACAGATGTGGGCGCCCCATAGCCCCTCTGGTGGCTCTGGCTCCGGCCGGGCCTGGCTGAAGCTGGAGGCCACTCCGCAGCTGCATGGGCATTCTTCCTGCCAGCAGCAGTTCCGGGCAGCGAGTGCGTGAGGTGCCAGGCCCAGGGTTCTGTTCCCCGTGACAGCACAATGGGCGGTGATGGGGTGGGAGGGCCTGGGGGACCGGGCCCCCACACCAGCCCCTCGCAGGAGCACAGAAACCCAGCTCCACCTGCCGGGACTCTGGGTGGCTCCCAGCTGCGCTGGCTATGTTGAGCAGAGGTCCAGAGATTAGAAGGCCAGGGAGGGTCTGCAGTGGGATGAATGGTGACCCACCCCCCTGCAACCAACAAAGGCGTGCCCACATCCTGATTCACTGAGCCTGCCAGTGTAACCTTCTTGGAAAAAGGGACTTTGCAAGTGGGATTAAGTTAAGGGTGTCGAGAAGACCACCCTGGATTATCCACAGGCAGGGGAGCCTAAATCCAATGACAGGTGTCCCTGTAAGAGACCCAGACATACAGAGGAGAGAGAGAGGACGGCAGGAGGACAGAGGTGGAAATCAGAGGGACACAGCCACGAGCCCAGGGACGAGGACCCGCGAGGCAGGACGAGGCAGGAAGGACAGACCCACCTCCTCGAAGACGTCCTTGCGGAAGGCCAGCTCCTCCTGCAGGCTCTGGCAGCGGTTCTCCAGGTCCACGCGCATCAGCGTCTCTTTCTCCAGCTGTTTTTTGGCCACCGCATGACTGTCCTCTGCCTGGAGACAAAAGATAGGTGGCTGGTGATGCTCTGTCGGCTGCAGGGCATGCACAGTCCTCAGGTGGGGGGCGTGCAGGCAGCCTACCCCAGTGGACCCCTGGGCCACCACCCCCACCACACTCGCCCCGCCCCACTACCTTGGCCAGCTGGGCCCGCAGCTCTGCCACGTCGTTCTCCAGGGCACGCTTGTCGCTGAGAGCAGCAGCCAGCTCCGCCTCGCTCCGGTGGAACACAGACTCCAGGTCCCTGACACGGCCCTGGGCCACCGTGAGCTCGCCCTCCCTCTTCTTAGCACTGAAAGTCAGGAGGGAAGTTAGCCAGCAGCCCAGCGCTCAAGGCCAAGTCCACCACCTCTGGACCTTGGCCAGGACCTATCCTTGCTCCCGGTGAGGGAGCCTCACCTGTCCACACAAAAGGTGCCCCTTCTTCAAACCTTCTGGGCCCCACAGGGACCCGGCCCACTGCTCAAAACAACCCTCAAGGAAGGGGTTTCAAGTCCTTTTCTGAAACTTTTGGACACAGGAGGGCGCATTTAGGGGAGAACTCTGATTTTTAAAAAATTTATGTATAACTTGTTAAAGTTACAAATTAAAACCCTAGCCTTTGAAGAGTTTATCTCATTTGTAAACTTCAAGCTTTTTAAAGCATGCCTCGACAGGCTACTGATAGACAGTTACCTCCAACATTAAAGGTTTGAGGTGCCAAACAGACTTTTTAACACACAAGTCTTAATGGCATGAACATTCCTTAATGTTGTTCTAAAGCTTCTTGGGGTTGAGAGCTCACCCAGGTCCCCACCAAGGAAATGACTGGGCCCTGCCCAGCAACAGTGGCAACATGCTGGGTCTCTCCCTGTGGGCACCGCGGGGCGTGGGGCAGCATCCCTGGCGCTGCGCCCCACCTCCACCCCCGTCCCGAGCCCATCAGTAGCCCCGGGGCAGCAGTTCCATCCGGGTGTCGTACCAACGGCCTTCGTGAGGGTCCAGGGCCTCCCAGCCCGCGCTCCTGGGCTTAACACAGTCCTGGTTCTCCTGCTCACGGGGTAGGGGGTGGGGGCTGCAAACCCACATCCCTGGAGGGTCTGGGCAAATCACTTGCTGGACAAATCATTTTGGAGGCCAGCTTCGTGGAAATGCTGTCCTCCAGCCTCGTGAACACGCTTGTCCTCATGAGGCAGACCTTTCTCGGAGTCCGAGACAACAGTGAAATCTGCTGCCTCTAGGACGTGAAGAGAAGGGGAAGGGAGGACATGCGTGTGGGGCGGGCCCTGCACTTTTCTGTGCTGCAGGCGTGGCCCTCAGAGCCGTGAAGGGGCTGGCGTGAGCCAGGTCCCTCTTTCCCAGGGGTGGAGCGTTCATGCAGAGCAACTTCACCCAGCCCCAGGGCTCCGCAGAACTGCACAGAATGGTCCAGAAAGCAGGCACACCGGCGCCTCTCACTGCCTTAAGTGCCTGCCGCTTAAGAGCTCCAAGGCGCTAGGGCAGACCGCTCACCCGCACAGCAGTAACTCCCAGGGACTGCGGGAGAGCCCACCTGCTAGGTTCTCCAGGTGGCACGCGCCTTCCCAGCATCACAGGGTCTTAGTGGTATGTTTGTTAGGAACAGAAAAGCACTGGATGCCACCTGCCAGGAAGTTCACCTTGCTCGGGGCTACACACACCACCACGTCCCTGTCCGCAAGGGCTGGCAGACGGAGAGCCCTCGGGGAGGCACCTGCAGATGTGCAGGTGCCTGGGAAGCCTCCCTCAGAGCGGGGCCCTAAGAGAGAACCACCAGCCCAGGTGTTGCCGTCACGCCCTCCACACCACTGTGGTCGCTGTCCTGTTTAAATGTCTGCCCACCCAGCCATGCCCAGAATCAGACCAAGGGAAGTGACCGTCACCCGAAGTGTCTCGGGAGACTGTGGGACCAGCTGGGACAAGCCACGGCCCAGGGGCTGGGATGACACTGTGCCACTGGCGACCAGGCTCACTGGTCTAAGGAGCCTTGTGTTGTCTGCAGGCGTCCACCTTAAGCTCAGATCTTAAAAGGCGGAATGACTTGGGGCATCAGGCAGGCCTCGGCACTTCTGTCTGGGCGGAGGCTCATGGAGACATTCGTCCTTCTGTTTAACTTAAACGCATTATCTGCTTCCCTGACAGTGAGCACCTATGACTCTGATACACAGAGAAAAGCGTGACTTCTCGGCCCAGACGAGCAGCCAACACACAGGACAGAAGGTGTCGGGGCGGGGGGTGTGGTGTCCAGAATCTGCGCTGGCTGGGGGCGGGCAGCGCTGACTCCGAATTCTCTTTATCTTCTCCAAGAAGCACAAGTCACTTTTAAAAAAAAAAAAAAAAGAACGTACTTACCTACGTACTACAGCCGCCGTCGTAGCGACGACGGACGGTCCGACCGAGACTCGGGTTGGTTCCGGC